CGAACACTGCGGAGCAAATCACCTAACAGAAAATTGCACATCTATGAGATTTTCGGATGAACAAGTCAACTTCATTCAAAATGGCTCTCGAAATTTTAATCCCTTTTCACAAACATATAACTCAGGATGGAGGCAACACCCAAACTTCAGATGGTCGGATAATCAGCAAGAGAGCAGTTCAAAAAATAACCAGCTAGAGAAAAAAACCAAGTTTGGGGGAGATGTTCGACCAATATATGCAGAAGACAAACAAGGTGTTCCAACAGATTGACAATAACTTTCAGAATCAGCAACCATCCATTAAGAAGCCGAAAACTTAAATTGGACAGATAGCTCAATAGCTTGCAGAACGACCACGAGGGACATTGCCAGGCAACACAATGGTCAATCCAAAAAGAGCAAGTGCAAGCTATTACAACTAAAAGTGGAATGCAACTTTTAGAGATACATGTGAAGAGACCAGACAGAAAAGACAAAGAAGTAATGGATGAAGAGGTTGGGACAGAAGTAGAGTCTGAACAACCAACTAACGAGGAGGATAAAGGGAAAGAAAGACCCACATTGAGAGCACCCTGCCCCTTGAAATCCTATGTACCAACAATTCCCTTCCATTAAAGGTTACAGAGAAAGAAGTTGGACAAGTAGTTTGCCAAGTTTGTGGAGATTTTCAAGAATCTGCACATCAATATTCCGTTTGCAGATGTAATAGCCCAAATGCCCAGTCATGCCAAATTCTTGAAGGAGATCTTGTCTAACAAAAGGGAGCTGGAAAAACATGAGACTGTCCGCCTAAACGAGGAATACAGTGCAATTCTATTGAAAAAGCTACCTCCAAAACTAAATGACCTAGGGAGTTTTACGATACCTTGCACAATTGATTCTAACTATTTTGAGCATTCTTTATGTAATTTAGGTACCAGTGTTAATTTGATGTCCCTCTCTGTTTACATGTCTCTTGGATTAGGAGAAGCAAAACCTACAACCATCTCTTTGCAATTGGCTGACAGATCGATCAAACGACCGAAGGGGATCATTGAAGATGTGCTAGTCAAAGTTGATAAATTTATTTTTCCGACTAATTTCATCATTTTGGACATGGAGGAGGATTCAAACATCCCTCTAATCTTGGGAAGACCTTTCTTGGCTACCGGAAGAGCGTTGATTGATGTTTACAATGGAAAGATGATTCTTCGGGTGGACAATGAGCAAGTAATATTCAACATGTTCAAGGCGATGAAACATCCACTGACTTCAGACACTTGTTGTCAAGTAGATGTTCTTGAAGAACTTATGGTAGATACATTTGAGATAGAGCATCAAATAATTCTTTGTGAAGCAGAAATTGCACAATCGAGAGCAACAAGTGCAGAAAAACTGAATGTGTTGTCAACTTGGCTTAGCAGCCAATAGGAAGAAGACATTGGCAGTATGAATCTCTTGGTGACAACCCTTCACCCACAGTACCTTCAGTAAAAAGACACCTACTCTTGAACTAAAGCCCTTGCCTTCACATCTCTATTATGCATATTTGGGAGAATCTACAACACTTCCAGTAATCATTGCAAATGACATGACAATGGAAGAGGAGAATAAATTGTTG